CCGTCGGGTCCTGCAGCAGGCGCGTCGGCACCGGCAGCTCGTCGAGGTCGTAGCGCAGCAGCACAAGGCAGCCCGTTTCCGACGTGACGGCGAGACGCTGCACCGCCGCGCTGCCACTGTCACTGTTGTTGTTTGACGGGGAGTCCAGAATGCCGCCACCACCCCCACCCGCAGAACGTGCGGCCGCCGCGACAGTCGGCACAGTGGCGACCTGGTAAACCTTTGCAAAGAGACGGGTGCTGTGCACACACTCCGCGACGTTGCGGTCAACGTGCAGCGTCCACAGCTCAAGGGTGTCGTGCCGCACAACAACGAAGTCGGTGGCGCCGGGTAGAGTGAAGGTGCCCCCAACACAGTGCGTGATCTTCTGCGTGGGGATGATTGTCTGGTGGTAGATCAGGTCCATGTTAGGTGGCGGGTGCCGAGGGGCCGCTTGCGCGGCTGGTCGTCCCGCCATTACTTTCTTCTTGCCCTGGTTGCTTCACACTCACCTTTCTCCGTGCGTGTGTTTCTCTCACTTCCTGCGGAGCCCTCGTGGCGTCCTCACTGCTAGCAATTTGCTTTCTCTCTCTCTTTCCACCACCACCACCACCAGCCGCAGCGGCAGGGAGAACGGTATTATGTGTGAGAGAATGCCGAAGAGAAGAAGGAGGAGGGGAGTGAGGCGGACAAGGACACACGCAGCACGCCCCCAAGTGGGCGGAGGAACTGCGCCCGTGGCGCAAGCAGCAGCACCAACAGCAGCCTTGCTATCTGTGCATCCACCACGCACAGGGAATGGAGAAAGAAAGTGTGAGTGAGTGAGAGAAACAAATAAAACAAACAAACGAAGGAGGGGAGGGAGCGCCCCTTTTTCCCCTTCACCCTCCCGCTCCCCCCACCCTCCCGCTCTCCATGTCCACACACATACACGCACCCCTCTCGTTCCTTCCTTCCTTTCTTTCTCTCTCTGTCTCCCCCTGTCACGCGCTTGTACGCACACCACACACCTACGCCGTCTTGGACACAATCGCCGGCTTCTTCAGCATGGCTAGCGCGTCGGGCGTCTGCGCCGCGCCGTCGTTGCCGTCTGCCGCGTTCTCTGCTGCTGCCGCTGCTGCCGCCGCCTTCTTGCGCTGCGACGCGAGCACCGGTGTGGGGATGTCCCACGTCTCGGTGCCCATTACCCGCATTGTGTATAAGAAGAGGCCGATGCTCAGCAGCCCGAGCGCAACGCCGATGTAATTCGCGTAGCGCCGCTCGTCGCCATAGAGCCAGTCGCGGTACATGCCTGTCTCGTCAAACGTGCCCTCCCCCTGCGTCTCGCGCAGGCGGTAGTCCTTCCCGCCCGCCACGTTGGCGATGAGGTTGGCGTTCTTCCAGCGCACGCTGTTGTTGAGCTTGTGCGCTGTCTTGTACACCGGCAGGCTGTGGGCGACGGGCGGCCCTTTGCGTGCGGTGCGCTCGCCCGGCTTGAGGTCGAGCGGGCCCTCGAACAGCTCCTTGCGGAAACCGCGCCGCTGCTCGCACAGCACAGCAGTAGCAGCCACAAGAGCGCTGCTCCTGCTGCTGGCGCTATGAAGCGG